GGGCTTTTGGAAGGCTTCTTGGGCAGCGCGGGCTTCTTGGCCTTTTGGGGGGTCTTGACACTCTTCTTAGCCGCGGCCCCCGCCGCCTTTCCGGGCTTCTTGGAAGCAGCGCCGGCGGCCTTGGGTTTGGCCGCCACTTTCGTGCCGCTGGCTTTCGACTCAGGAGCCGTTCTCTTAGCGAGCTTGAAGGAGCCGGAGGCGCCGGTGCCCTTGGTCTGCACCAGGGTGCCTTTGCTCACCAGGCTCTTCAGACCCAGCTTGATGCGGCTGTTGTTCTTCTCCACATCGTAGCCCGCAGCCGCCAGCACCTTCTTGAGCGCGGCCAGAGACACCCCGTTGCGCTCCTTGGAGGAGGAAACGGCCTGCACAATCAGCTCCGACACTGAAGGGCCGGCAGGCTTCTTAGCGGCGGCGGCGGCCTTGGCAGGCTTCTTCGCCTTCTTGGCCGCCGGAGGCTTCTCAGGTACAGTGGAAGTAGCCTGCGTGGCGGGTGGTGTCTCAGACATAGCTGCAGGAAAACACCCAAGCCAGCAAAATCGGACAAAGTTGTGACTCTGAGACCCCGGCGAGGCCTATTTATAGAGGGGGGTGTGCTGTGATTGGTGGGCGTTTTAAAGCCCGCCTCTACACCCACGCGCCTCTGGAAGGCCCCTGGAGGATTGTTTAGGACTGTGGTTCGGCTTCGCTTTCCCGCGCAAATGCACCCGCAAAGCTTTCCTAGTCAACTCTTTGAGGTGAAAATCTTAGGAGATCAATGTTGCACTGCAACCAGCAAAGGATGCCATTTCCCAGATTCATACCCAGTTTAACTTGGATTTAGAAAAGTCCTTGGAGAAGTTCACTGGTGTTTTATCAAGGAACGTGCGAGATTATCCTGAATAATGGGGAACACAGAAAAGGAAGATATGATTGTAGGCATTGCCAGTAGGTCTTCATCCTTATTGTATTTTCCTGATAAAGCTGAAGGTGCACTTTTAATATGTTTTGGCCAGAAAAATGAACCATAGAAAACTCTGGAATTCACTGACCTAAATTAACATTCGTACAATTTGGGAAAGAGTAAGCAAACATTTCCTGCAACGTAATACAGTTCAGTAGTACGATTTTTAACATTTCGCCTTACATTTAGCCCAGATGGACTCTGTTTTCAAACTGTTCACTATCAGCATATAGCATATGGACACAGTTACTTATTTTACACAAAAAGATGAGGCTCAAGATCGCTTTCCTGACAGGCATTGTCCCAAACTTTGGTTTCTTTAGTTAACAAGAGCAATATTGCAACATTTAAGTTCTACCTTGTTTATGGCTGTAAAGAGCATTTCGAGCAAATAGCACGCTACCACTATTTCACATTGCGAATCAATAAACTAATGGGAGAATAAAATGCTATCAGACTTATCACCCACAGTCCTAAATGCCCGGTGCTCAGGAGAGCCAACCACAACTTATTCTCCCGCGTTTTGTTGCGGTTTTCAAATAAGTCCGCAGGAGCCTACCAACCTGAGATTTGCGCATTTGAACTATGAAGCCGATAAAGTTCTAGGCTCAGGCCCATTTTCCCTACCAGTGTTTTCAGCAATTTATTTTTATTTAGAATTGGTTTCCAAACGTGTCATGTACCAAGAATTTGGCAGAGAGCAATTGGAAACAATCACAAATCCTGGTCTGAAGGATAAACGCAAAGCACATTTTTAAGTAAATCCTTTATGAAAGACAAAAAAACGGCGGAGGGAGATATTCTCGATGTAATAAGCAAAACTTCGGTCCAAATGCAGCTGTATTATTTGACTCAAATAGGGGTTCCTGTTTCCTATTATGTTAAACTGCCTTTAGATAAAAATGAGATGCTCCATGCAAATGAAGGATGCTGGATCTACTTTTTTAATGGCTGCTGAGTTAAGTGTAATGAACCAATCAAAAGGTAGTACCGGGAATCCTGCTGCTAATGTCTGCATGAGAAAGCTACCCCGTGTGCTCTTTCTCAAGATTATTCCCTTTGCTGTCTGGACTTCTGAGGTTGCTGTAGGGCTCTTTCCCTGCTTCACAGGGGCAACAACTTTTACCTGGTTGAAGGTGGCCCATTTATATGCCTGTAAGTGGTGCTAGCTCCAGCCACTTCCTTTCGTCTGCCTAGTTATACCTTCGCCCTTAAAAAATATAACAGCTTGAGAAAGGTTGATATACTGCATAACGTTGAGCATGGATATTTAATTTTTAAAAAAGTCTTGAACAGAAAGTGGTATTCGAGCAATCATGTGTCTTACTACGAGATTATGCTCTGTAAATTTCAGCAAGATTTCCCTAACAAAAGACACTGCATTTGTAAAAAGCTCTCGAGAAACTCCATATTGTGTAGACCAACAAGGAAGTGTAAAATATTTCAGGGGAACAGGTGCTCAACATTTAGTTTTGTGCCGCCTCCCTTCCCCCCGGGAATAAATCTTAAAATTATGGAAGTTAATTCCTTTGCTTTCACACATAAAAAAAAGTACGTATCAGGCTACAACAACCAGAAGGCACAAAAGCAGGAAAAAACAAAACAAAACATTTTAAACGGGTAAGGGGTGAATCTGAAGAAAATGAAGGATTAAAAATAAACCAATCAGAGTCTGTGACGTCACAGATGGAAGAATTTTTGTCCAATCACTGCACTTTGCATACTATAAATATGAGCAACCTTGGCTGCTTACCACTATATCTTGGCTTTGTTCTATCATGGCTCGTACAAAGCAGACCGCTCGTAAGTCCACCGGTGGCAAGGCGCCCCGCAAGCAGCTCGCCACTAAGGCCGCTCGCAAAAGCGCGCCAGCCACCGGTGGCGTGAAGAAACCTCACCGCTACCGGCCCGGGACCGTGGCATTGCGTGAGATCCGCCGCTACCAGAAGTCTACTGAGCTGCTGATTCGCAAACTGCCGTTCCAGCGCCTAGTTCGTGAAATTGCGCAGGACTTCAAGACTGACCTGCGCTTCCAAAGTTCCGCTGTGATGGCGCTGCAGGAGGCATGTGAAGCTTACTTAGTGGGTCTTTTTGAAGATACAAATCTCTGCGCTATCCATGCCAAGCGGGTTACCATCATGCCCAAAGATATCCAACTGGCACGCCGCATTCGCGGGGAACGTGCGTAGTTGCACTGCTATAAGCACCCACCAAAGGCTCTTTTCAGAGCCACCTACGTTTTCAAGTAGAAGTAGCTGCTTTCCTTGGCTTCTCTATGTGCCTTAACAAAATCATCCCTGACAAGCTATAACGTGAGATCAGTGTACCCAATGATAATGAACGTGAGCCCGGCCTTGTAATAGTGGGGAGGGGGAAAGTTAGTGGTTCCGGTGTCTGTAGGAAGTGGTCGGCGGGTCGCTTGTCAGCTCCGCCCCTAACTACTTACTGGTCCATCCCCAACCCTGAGTCGTGGGCCAGACAATAGGCTAAGGCTTGGTCTGCGAATCCAAGGCAGCCTGTGGAAAGCCGATTCCTGTTTTGCAAAAATAAACAGCCAAGTTCTGTTGGTGTTTCCTGACCCGAGAGCTAGAAGTCTTAAGGAGAAAGCGAGGTCCTGATACCCTCATATAAAAGAATGGAATGGTGACCACGAGTTTTAAAAATCATTTAGTTTCAAATTTGGTTACTAAAACAGCTGCTGAAAGTACTAATTGAAATCAATTACAGGACAGTTAAAAGCCAGTTTCCAAGGCCCCTCCCTACAGCCGTTTTCTTGGCTTGGAGGAGGGGTTAAGGGAGGGATCGCTTGCGTCAGAATTGCCGCAGGCGCGCTTTCTATTCTCTGCGTCTGCAAGGGGGCGGGGCGAAAGGAAGGAGCAGATATATATAAGGGCGAACTCTCGCCTTCGCCTAACTTCTCTGGTTGCAGTCATGTCTGGACGCGGAAAAGGAGGAAAAGGCCTGGGCAAGGGTGGCGCCAAGCGTCACCGCAAGGTGCTGCGCGACAACATCCAGGGCATCACCAAGCCCGCCATCCGGCGCCTGGCTCGCCGCGGCGGAGTCAAGCGCATCTCCGGCCTGATCTATGAGGAGACTCGCGGGGTGCTGAAGGTGTTCCTGGAGAACGTGATCCGCGACGCCGTCACCTACACCGAGCACGCCAAGCGCAAGACCGTCACCGCCATGGATGTGGTCTACGCGCTCAAGCGCCAGGGCCGCACCCTCTACGGCTTCGGCGGCTAGTTCGTGCTGTCGCTTTCATTTGTGAACCAAAGGCTCTTTTCAGAGCCGCCCACTTGTTCAAAAAGAGCTGTAATAGTGTCGGGAGTTACAGGTGAAAGCCTGGTACATCGCTTTCTTATGCGTAAGTACTGTTGCCCAAGTATCAGTTTTCCCTCAAAATGCCAGGTGAACTGTTTGGCTGACGTCTCAATGTCTCACTCAGGTGGGAAGTTCTTGCCTTTTTGAATTGTTTTTCCCTAAGGTGTTTTCCCCTAGGGATTAAAGGAATGGAAGCGGCGCTGCAGCTCAAGCGGTAGAGCGCTCACATTGAGCTGAAGAGCAAAGGGACAGCACCGAGGCCCAGAGTTCAAGCCCCACGGCCGACAGAAACAAAAAACAAAAAAACACCTACTGGTCTGAGAAGGTGGCTCAGTGGTAGGGCGCTTGCCCTGCATGACGCCCTGGGTTTGATTCCTCAGCACCACATAAGCAGAAAAAGCCGTAAGTGGGACTAAGGCTCAAGTGGTAGAGTACTAGCCTTGAGCTGAAGAACAGCGCCCAGGCCCAGAGTTCAGGCCCCATGACCAGAAAAAAAATTTTTACAAGTTTAGCATTTTTAATGTTTCCTGAGCTATCACCAGCACACACCTCATAATGAGGCCGTGAAAAGCTGCCAGACAAAAGAACTCACTAAAGGAGCTACGATGACGCCCTGGGGAACCTACTTCATACAGGACACAAATCCCACTTCCCAGGAGATGCGCAACTCTTTTTGTAAGCAAATGGGAGGCCCTAAAAAGGGCCTTTAGAATTAAGATTTTTAAAGGTGATGGGGTGCGGCGATTTTAACCGCCGAAGCCGTAGAGGGTGCGGCCCTGGCGCTTGAGCGCGTAGACCACATCCATGGCGGTGACGGTCTTGCGCTTGGCGTGCTCGGTGTAGGTGACCGCGTCGCGGATCACGTTCTCCAGGAACACCTTCAGCACGCCGCGGGTCTCTTCGTAGATCAGGCCGGAGATGCGCTTGACTCCGCCGCGGCGAGCCAAGCGACGGATAGCGGGTTTGGTGATGCCCTGGATATTATCGCGCAGCACCTTGCGGTGCCGTTTTGCTCCGCCTTTACCAAGGCCTTTACCTCCTTTCCCTCGGCCAGACATATCTAAAACTGCCTAGAGCGACCAGTAAGAACACTGAATTTCACTTTGGGACCATGAGTAATTATAAGCTGCAATCGGACCTAATTGAGAACTGTAGGCGGGAGCGTACTGCTGCCGCGCCTTTGCTCCGCCCCCTTCAGCCAGCAATCCTTACGAACTGAGAAATGCTTTCGCTTTTTAAGCCCCTGCTGTTTTTTTTCTCCAACACTGCTATTTGCACCTCAAGTTGCTGTACGTACGTTTTAGCATTTTAGTAAGAACCTAAACTTTAATACACTGCTCAGAAAAGACTCAGAAATGTACCACTATGGTTTATTTCAAGAATTAAAAGGTATCTTGCCTGTAGTAGAAAATCAGTAACTTCTTGTCAAAGGAACTTCTTGTCAAAGGGTTCTATTCAAGTAAACCTTGTAATTAAGCACCTTTGTTTTGTAACTTCTCAATGAAATACCTGTCTCAAGGCCTTATTAGTCTATTCGTGTCAACTTAATTTTCAGGCCTAATTGCAACACTAAGTCTACAGGTCTGGTTTTGCCACTTGAACATGTTTTGGCACTTCTACTTTCTCCTTAGAGAAAGTTCCCTTTATAAAATTGTGCAGTAATAATAGCTTTCATGGATTTGGGTGGCCAGAATTAGGATCAGCAAATGCAAACAAAACAGGCTGTCACAAAGTAGTGCTACATACATGTAATATTGTTTTTAAGCTTTTACTTTTAAAATCTGCCTTGAATTGGAATTTTGACCTGAGCTCTTGATTTCAAGTTTTAACTCCCAGCCCCATGTCACTATGAGAAAGTGCATATATATTAAAAGTTTTTTTAATAAAGTGCAAGATGTTGCCACATTTTATTTTCTATTTGTATATGTTCAAAACAATTGCCCCAAAATATTTCATTGTTCTCTTTCTCAAGTGTATGGACAATCACATTAAGTTACCCAGAGCCATGTCATGAGTGCAGTTCAAATTTTCAAATCTCCATGCAGATTTCTCAATTTTGGGTTAAAAATTACTAAAACCTTACTAAGTCACTTTTACTGAGTACATTGGAACATCTACTGCCAATATTTTTGTTGTTCCTAAGAAAATGTGTAGCCCAAGCTGGATTCAGACATGTCATCCTCCTTTCTCAGTGTAGGCTGTGATGACTGCTGTTTCCTTCTGTGCTGGACACTACTGCTAAATATTTAAGCCTGAAAAAAATGTACCCTGATTTTGATGTGTTTCTCTCCTTTGGGAAGTTTGATCTTTTCATACAGTGTCTCTAATCAAAACAGTTTCTAGACTCAAACAACATTAGCTATAAACTTTACTGTCTGGTAGATCACTCTAAGGTGCTTGGAGAAGAAAAATTAACTGAAGACCTTGTGACAACCAATATTTAATGCAGACAATACCATTATAAAGAGGTAAGAAAGACCATATCTGGTTAGACTCTCCTACTGGGTCTCTGAATGTCATAAAATTGATTAACAGGGTGAAAGCACCGCACATTTATTTCATGTTTGTGAGACAGGCTAGGGTCCATAGAGAAATGAAAGCCCTTAACATGGGGGGGGGGGGGGCGCTCGAGGGAAAGGAGGGATAAATTTCTTTTTGTGTGTGTGTGGGGGGGGGTGTCCAGTCTTGGGCCTGAACTCTGGGCCTGGGCGCTGTCCCTCAGCTCTTCAGCTCAAAGCTAGCGCTCTAACACTTGAGCCACAGTGCCATTTCTGGCTTTTTTCTTTTTGCTTATGTGGTACTGAGGAATCGAACCCGGGGCCTTAAGCATGCAAGGCAAGCGCTCTACCACTTCCCAGCCCAGGAGAGATAAATTTCTATCTTTGATTTTTCAATGTAGGTTGACGGTTTTTTTATTCTAAACTAGGCAGAATCTACCAAAGTAATACAAATAAAATCAGAAGGTAGAGGTTTGATTTTTTTTTTAAATCCTAGAGTATAAGAAATACACAACTCAAAAAATTAAAATTTCTATACAGCAGTGTCAAAAATAGACTGCTATCCCAATAACAAACCTGTAAAATGGGTATTGTTATAGTGCATAGCAAAGATGAAAGTAGAAATCAACTCCATGTTGATTTCTATCACAAATTCACTAATTCTAAAGTGAAGAGGTCTCTAGGATGTATGTCTGTCATTCTTCAGCATATTATTACATATAATACCCAAGTTAAATAGTTGAAAATGCAGAAACTACTTTTAAGACACTATTCCCATCTAACTGCCTTACAGTACTTAGTCCCCAAATTCTGAGAAATATTTGTGAAAGTATTTAGTCGGTGAACTTCCTATTTGAATACAGATGTACCCAGCCATACTCGTTTGTTGTAATCATCCAGGTGGACATACACCTAATAAACACATCTTAGTACTCAGGTTTGTATGGAGTAATTGGTTCAGAAGAGTGTCACTTAAGACCCAGGTAAGGAATGCATCCAAATTCCCAACACATCAGTCCAGTGATCGGATCTATTGTGCACCACTCTACCTCTATTCCTGAAGGCCACAGGAAAGGCTCCCAAGGTGCAAGGGTAGGTTTTAAGGCACAACGCGTATAATCCACCGAAAGCCCCAGCTGTATACACTTGACACTGCATTACATTCTTCCTCAACCTAGTTCAACTAAACTTTGTCCACCCAAGCCGAGAGCTTGTACTTGCAGGCCCGAGTCAATAGCCTTGGACCTTTGCCCACACTGCCACCTGACACCCTTCAGGTTCTGGAAGGCTTGCATAGCAGGTGACTACAGCTGCTTTTTGAAACATGTGGGTGGCTCTGAAAAGAGCCTTTGGGTTAACAGGTACAAGCTTAGATCTACATTTAAGCCCTCTCTCCACGGATGCGGCGCGCAAGCTGGATGTCCTTCGGCATGATCGTCACCCGCTTGGCATGGATGGCGCACAGATTGGTGTCCTCAAAGAGACCCACCAGGTAGGCCTCACTCGCCTCCTGCAGCGCCATCACAGCGGAACTCTGGAAGCGCAGGTCGGTCTTGAAGTCCTGCGCGATCTCGCGCACCAGCCGCTGGAACGGCAGTTTGCGGATCAGCAGCTCTGTAGACTTCTGGTAGCGGCGGATCTCGCGCAGCGCCACGGTGCCGGGCCGGTAGCGGTGAGGCTTCTTCACGCCGCCGGTAGCGGGAGCGCTCTTGCGAGCGGCCTTGGTGGCCAGCTGCTTGCGGGGCGCCTTGCCGCCAGTGGACTTGCGAGCGGTCTGCTTAGTACGAGCCATGACAGGGAGTAAGGAACGTCCTCAGGAGACTTGCACTGTGTGGCGAGCAACCCCTCTTTTATACAATCAGACTACCAATGATTGGGCCCACGCAATTCGAAAGTGCGCGCGCTTTTAACTGATTGGTCCATTCCTGTACCAGAGAACCCTGATTACAAACTGCTTTCACTGCCTTAAAAAGGAACAATGAAACCAGTTAAATGTTTTGCGAAGTGGGGAGTGGAATAGGGCAGAGCTATAGAGTAGGAAGGGTGTGGTTGATTCACGTATGTGTAAAAATGTTACAATGGACTCCATCATTGTATAATTGTTATTATGCACAACAATTTGCAGAGCAAGCGTCTGAGCCTCTTAAGGTTAGGGGAAAGAAAGCTTGCAGTTTAGTGAATGAAGCCAATGCCCTGCTCTTTACCATAGCCTTTATTCACCTTCTACATACATAGCAGGTATCGACAAAATTTGCAGAGCAAGCTTCTCACTCAAAAATTTAAACAAGGCAACCACTTGAAACGTGGAAAATCTCCTGTATATCGTCAATTTACATTTTTTGAAATACCTTACTTATATTGAAGTCAATTGCATATGGGTTTTACTTTTAAGTAGAACTCACTTAAAATGAAAGGGTTTCCCTTGGCATGATACAAGTATTGTAAGCATCTGGGGAAAGCCCTGGATTTGAAAGTTAATCTCAGTATGTTAAATGTGAAGGGTAAAATGGTAACTTTTTCTATTGAGAAAGAATCTCATTTTAGTGAAGCTGGCCAGATACACCGAGATCCAACACTAGCCACTGCTACTACAGTGGTGTACAATGACGCCTGCTTTACTGAACTGGCAACAATTTCGGACGCCAGAATTTTTGAAAGCACTGGCTAAAGACGCGATGCATTGCTTCATTCGCCCTTTTCTTACATCAACTTCTTTCTATAACCAAATGCTGTTTTCTCCTCAAAAATTGTGTTTTATAGAGGTATAGATCGGTAAGAAAACGATTGGTACAAAAAAAAATTTCAAATGACAGCTCATTTTATAGAAATAGTGGGTGGCTCTGAAAAGAGCCTTTGTTGTTATCCTGATCTGTCTTGCTCAGAATTGCAAAGCGGTTACCTAACAGGCTTATTTGCCCTTAGCCTTATGGTGACTCTCGGTCTTCTTGGGCAGCAGCACAGCCTGAATATTAGGCAAGACACCGCCCTGTGCGATGGTCACACGACCCAGCAGCTTGTTGAGCTCCTCGTCGTTGCGGATGGCCAGCTGCAAGTGACGCGGGATAATGCGGGTCTTCTTGTTATCCCGGGCCGCATTGCCCGCCAGCTCGAGGATCTCCGCAGTGAGGTACTCCAGCACCGCAGCCAAATACACCGGGGCGCCGGCTCCGACACGTTCCGAGTAGTTTCCCTTTCGGAGAAGGCGATGGACGCGCCCTACTGGGAACTGCAGACCGGCTCTGGAAGAGCGAGTCTTAGCTTTAGCGCGAGCTTTACCTCCTTGCTTTCCGCGACCCGACATAACGGCGGCAAAAATGAAGAACTACACAAGAAAAATGCAGGTATAGCACTGTATAAACGGGGAATGAGAAGTATTTATACTAACGGAAGGGAGCCTGTACGGGCTTTTTCCATTGGCTAACCTAACTACCAATGGAAAATAAGAATTTTCATCCTTCATTTGCATACAAGCCTGTGGATTTATGTTTGCTTCAGTCAGCAGTCAGGTTTGATGCCTTTTTACTTGAATACCAATAACATGGAGCACTTTAATGATCTATGGGAGACTATTAGGGAGACACAATGGTTCATGTCAGCAATTCTAGCTACTGAAGAAGCTAGAGATTGGAAAGATAAGGTTAGAGGCCAACAGGAACCAAAAAAAGGTGTGAATCCCACCCTGTCCTGCCCAGTAGGATTGAGATACAGCCCTGCTGGCTCTGGACTGGGTAATCCTCAGACTAAAAATTAGGGAAGGGAGAAGCTCTGGAGTGTGTCTCAGGTGGGAAGGCCCTGAGATCAAACCTCATTACTGGGGGGGGAAAAAAAACCTATAAGCAAGGAGTGGGAGTGTTTTATTCTCAGAGCTGTGCCTCTTGGCCAGTGGTCCTTTTGGGGGAGTCTGGTTTGGATTTTTAGAAAGTAATCTATTCAGAACAATTTCTGAGTATGTAGAATTAGTGTGGTAGGCATTGTTTTTTTATGTGTCTGTGGAGAAAGGGGCTTATTAAGCCGAGGCTGGCCAAAACTTGCTATCTAGTCTATACTGCTGTCCACCACCATGCAGTCTCTCAGATCTGGGATTATTTTGCTCATTAGGCCTCATGACAGAAATGGAGGAAGAAAGCAAACGATTCTTCATTGTAGCCAAACTCTTCTTGTTTTTTTTTTTTTTTGGGGGGGGGGGTCCAGTCGTGGGGCCTGAACTCTGGGCCTGGGCGCTGTCTCTCAGCTCTTCAGCTCAAGGCTAGCACTCTACCACTTGAGCCATAGCGCCACTTCCGGCTTTTTTTCTTATTGCTTATGTGGTGCTGAGGAATCGAACCCAGGACCCATGCATGCAAGGCAAGCGCTCTACCACTGAACCACCTTCCCAGCCCCCCAAACTCTTCTTAAACTGCCAGGACTATAAGTTCCTGAAAGGACTAGATGATCAGTCCCTGACCTAGGTCTTCTTTCATTTTATCTATGTATGTAGCTGTGAGGGTAACCTTGAAGATATGTAGTGTGTTAAACCCATTTTAATGAGATTGCGAAGCTTCATACACCACAACAGTTATTTACCTTGCCAGAGTTAAGACGACTAGAGTCTCCCCCATTAGCTAGGAAAGCCTTTCACACCTTGATAAGTGACATTCCCAACCTTCCTAACCCTTGCTCTTTTCTCACTTGCCTACAAAATAGCATTATAATTATTCCTGTACACCCCTCATTTATAATTAGATATTTCTCCTTTCAGATCTGTCAGTTTGTTTGTTGCATATACTTTATATTTAATTAAATTCACACATATTTAGATTGCCTTGATTTTCTCACTCAATGTATGTTTTTATCATTATTCAATATCCCTCTCTGTTCCTGGTCATTTTTTAAATAGCTGATCATTGTTAGCTAATAACTTAACACTTCCTTACTCCCCTCTAAAGGCAGTGACAGTAGAAAAATGAACGAGAAATTTTTCATAAATTAGTTTACATGTATGGGGGCATATAGCAAATAAAAACGAATACTCAAACACCCAGTGAGATCAACATACTTATATACCTTCCTGGAGCACAAAGGAGGATGAATATTGGTAATGGAGGGATAATAGAGAAAATGAGTGTGTGTCTGTGTGTGTGTGTGTGTGTGTGTGTGTGTGTGTGTGTGTGTGTGTGTGTGTGTGAGTGAGTTGTGGGGCTTGAACTCTGGGCCTGAGCACTGTCCCTCAGTTCTTTACCTTAAGGCAAGCGTTCTGCTTGAGCTACAGCACCACTTCCAAGAAAATGATTTTTTGAAAACATTAATAGGTACTGAAGGGAACAAGTACAGAATCTGGTACAGTCTGTCTTGCATTAACTTCTAATTTTTCTCTCCTGAAATTTATTCTTCCTAGTTTGAGATTCCTGGAAGCAGATTCATGACATTTGACTTCCTTTTGAAGGATATGTCTCTAGGTAGATAAGGGAGTTCAGACAGTCCCTCTGCATTTGCCGCTTCCCAAGCACCCTCAGTTGATAAACAGCATACTAAACTGCCATGCTTTGGCTTGAATTTTCTGAACTCACTGAAGCACATAATCATCTCTAGACTTTTAAGGTACTAGAATACAAATACTCTATACTATGGCAATACTCAATCAAAGTGAGAGTATGTACCACAGCACACTATGATAATATTATATATTAATTGCCTGGTCTTAAAGCTGATACATTGAGGAATAGAAAAATCAACAAAGATTGCTGAATCTTGCTGTTTTTAATTTTATGGTTTGTGAAATTAAGCAAATGGTACCCAGCTGGAGGTGAACAATGCACTAAAGGAATTTCTAAAGGCTCAGAACCAAGGATCTACTTACAAATAAGATGATGGGAGGGACAAGAAACAGGTGTGAGAAAACCCCCGATCCCTTCCTAACCCAGTGTAGTCAGTCAGTACATGGTTTTAGTCAAAGAACCTAGGAGGAGAGTAAAGGTACTCATTTTCTGTTAACCTTTCATTTCTTTCATTTTTTTTTATCCCTATGATTTTTTTTACTAATAGCCTCCCTTTTATGATTATTATTTTCATGATAAACAACAGCAGTAAATAATAACTGCTTATTGTTTTTGGAAAGTTGAAAAAAACCTATGATTGACCTATTCCAAATATTTATAATCTCTGAGAAGGATTTAAGTGATTAAGTAGCAGTGCTTGTTTTCCATCCAAAAGAAGGTTTTGAGCAATTGTTATACAAGGGCACAGCAAAGAGCAATCACAGTAACTTAGAAAAATCAAGAGAATTCCTGAGGGAGATATCCAATGTTTATTCAATGTGTGCTTAACAAGTCCCTGGTAAAAGCCAGAGTGTTTTAGGTACCCAAGGCCACAGCAGTGAGCAGACAGCAACATTATCCTCAGGATGATCATGTTCTTGTTGAGAAGGCTCACAGTAAGGTAAATACATAGAAAAAGTGTAGCATATGAGTGATATGGAAAAAAAATTGAATATAGAATGACAATAGGCAAGAACAGGATGAGAAGGAGAGAACATGTCTTTATTTCAGACATGAAGCCAGCCTATTAGAAAAAAATATATACCTCAGTAAAATGAGAGATATATTAACAAACAAAACAGGGATGTCAAAAACCAAATATCAGAAGGTACATATTTTCTAATTTCTTGACCAAATTCTAGATGATTTGGGATGAAGCATTACATATATACGTATATATACATGCAAAAATTACAAGAAATGAATGGGAAAGTAAAGGCTTTTACAGATGAAGGATGGGGGAAAAGAAAAGAATTTGTTGCCAGCATACCTATCCTCAAAAGCATA